GGCCGTCCAGAAGCCAGCGACTGATCTGCCTCACCCGGGAAGAGCGCAATGATGGTGCCAGCTTGGGCTAGTGAAGCAACATCCTCCACAACTGGACTGAAGAACAAAACAACAGCAACTTGTCTGTTCCCCTTCCCCCAATTCCCCAGTGCTGTTCCCCTCCCCCAGTTCCCCAATAAAAATCTTAAAAAAAAAAAAATTAAGAATGGGTTATGAGGAGCATAATTTAGAGACAGAAAAGCTCACAGATAATTAGACTTGAACTGGGCTTTAAAAAAAAATGGTTAAAAAGAGAGAATTGGGAAGGTATTACCAAAATAAATAAATAATCAATATAAGCACATAAGAATAATGAAATGTATAAACATGTGTCCCAATACCTAACACAAAATGCATGCTTAATAAAAATGTTAAATGAAAAAAGATGCACATTAGGAAATAATGGAAAAAAATAAGACTACTTAGGTAGGATAGGGTCAGTTTTAGAGATCTTTGAAATTAAAACCGAGATTAGATTTAATTCAGTTCAATGCAAGGCTTCAAGAGCTGGAGTTACCTGGCAAAGCCACATTTTAGGAAGAATGGTCTGGTAGCAAGCAGTAAGCCAGATTGACAGGATATAGAATAAATTCATCAGTTACAATGAGTAATTAAGTTACATACATAAATATGTGTATTTATACACACACACACAGTATATCACATTTATTATACATATAACGATATTATAGACAGGAAATGAGATGGAGAGCTGAAACTAAGATGGGAGCTAATTAGAACAGGAATGTGACTAAAATATTAGAATACGATACCAAACTGCCCTAGTAATTACAACTAGCATTTGCAGTTTTAAATAAATTATTTCTCAATAATATTATGAAGGAAAAGTCAGTCTCGTACATGCTAACTCACCTGATCCTCCTGAAACAAAGTGCCTTTCTGAGCATTTATTCGTTTAAACAGATCTCCTCCTTCACAGTAATCCATCACTATGTAGAGAGCGCCATTTTCTACAAAACACAAACATTAAACTCCATTTTTAAAATGTGTGTCAAAAGCATCGATTAATTAAAGGTTCTTAAAGGTTTACTAAAAAGCAGCAATGAACTGTGACCTGTTAAACCAAAAACAGACCACACTCAAAAGAATTAGAGTGCAAAGTTAAGGTATACTGGTTACACAGATTGTACCATATCTTGGGTTAATAGGCAACTCCATCATTAATGATTTTTCTACCAATATACCATCCTATTAGATAGTGTCCACATTGATCCAAACATCTCTGGAATACAGACAAAATGCAGACAGAGATGCAGATACTCCTTGACTTACGATGGGGTTATGTCCCAAAAAACCCATAAGTTGAAAATATCTTAAGTTGAAAATGTGTATTTTTTTATTTTAACTCTTCTACACGTATAATTCAGTGGTATTTAAAGTATAGCATAAGGAATATAATCAATAATATTCAAAATGTGTATCTTAATAATTATTATTAATAATGCTTTCATGACTCACCCCATGGGTAGACAAGACTAGAACACTTCTTAAGAACACTTCTTAAGAATGCACTTATTCTTACCAAGTAAGGAAGAGTGACCGATATTACTTCTAACATTTACTAAACCACTACATACTAGTGAAAATACTGCAACTCAAAGAACAGTTTTCACTTCTCTTACTACCCTGTGCTTCTGGCCTTATTTCCAGCACTACTTATTTCTTGTACCTTGTGGTGACGTTATTACTTGTAGAGCTCATACCCCCACCTGATATGCTGCTTCTAATGTGCCATGGATTGGGAACCTATACGATTGAGCTAATAATCTGTTATAACTCTTTATGGTTGATATGAAAAGACCACCCAAATGCACGTGTAAGAAATCTCAATGCTAGGAAAAAAAGCTGAACAATCCATTACTTACAAAAATATGTATAGGATGTTAATATTTATGTAGTATAAAGGAAACACAAAACAGTGGTAACAGTGGTTATTTGGGGAAAGGAAAATTGGTGGCTCAAAGGTAGGAATAGAAAGCAAACATTTTACTGTTATGTAACATTTGAATTTTGTACCATATGCATGTATCAAAATATAAAACCATCAAAAGATTTTAAAGTGTGTGTGTGTGTGTGTGTGTGTGTGTGTGTGTATCACTTCTTTATTCATTCATTGATGGACATTTAGGTAGCTTCCCCGTCTTGGCGACTGTAAACAGTGCTTCAATAAACATAAGGATGCATATGTCTTTTTTAATTATTTTGGGTTTCTTTGGACCTCAAAGGTATTTTGCTAAGTAAAATAAGTCTGACAAAGAAAGACAAATGCCATGATTTCAATTATATGAAGAATCTAAAAACCAAAATAAATGAACAAACACAAAAGAAACAAACTCATAGATTCAGAGAATAGTTTGATGGTTGGCTAATAGGTGGGGGTTTGCAGAGGTGGTTAAAAAGGGGAAGGGATTAAGAAGTACAAAACAGTCATGGGGATGTAAAGTATAGCACAGGCAATATAGTCAATAATATTATAAAAACTACGTATATAGTGTCAGATGAGTACTAGATTTATGGAGGGAAATCACTTTATGTAAGTTACATAAATATCTAATCATTATATTGTACACCTAAAACTAATATAATATTGTATGTTAACTGTAATTGAAAAATTTTTTTAAATATTAAAAAAAGAAAAAAACTTATAACCCCAAAATCTATTCAATTTCAAGATTCAGCTGGGAAAAAAACGTAAATGTAATTAAGCTTTTTAGTAATTTATACATGTTACATATTAAAGAGTATAAAAATCATTAAGCTAATGATCCTATTAATAAAATACATTTAGAAAAGTATGAATTTCGCAATATAATTGATGTTCATCTATTACATTTTTAAAGCATCTTTCTCACAAAATTGATTTTATATAAAATTCTTTGAACCCATTCCTAATTTAAAGACATATTTTTTACAGTTGATTTATTCACAAGACACAGAAGTAACATTAAAATGTAAAATTTAGCACAAAGAAAATGCTGTTATCTTTTAGAATATCCACTAGTAATACATTCCATAGACTACATTGATCATCATAATAGTAATTGATTTTACAAATACATTGCTGGAATGATGTTTTCAGCCTCTACTGCTGAAGTCTGAAATACAGCTTCCCCCTCATCCTCAAGAGAAAAAGAAGAAAATGGAGTGGCTCTGGGGGGAATGCGGGGGCCAGGGGGTGCGAAGGATCAGAAGCAAATACTAATACATGCATTACTGCCAGCTACCAACGGCTTTCTTTTAGCTTCGATGAGCACTTTCAAAATTAAGACCAATGTTTGTTGGTTGGGATTTTTCCATTATAATAGAAAGAGTGAGAGAAAATAAAATGTATTTGGAATTCAGTGGCAGAATTCCTCTTCCCACCTACATATACAATCTGGTAACCATAGACCAGCTTAGTAATTAGAAATTTGGGGCTGGACGCCAGATGCCTGGAACAACTTCTTTGTTGCAGAGAAGTCACTTTACATCTCTGCATTTTATTTCCTTACAAGGAAAGGAGAAATGATTAATGCACATGATTAATACATACAACTCACAAGGTTACTGTGAAGGTTAAGAGTTAACAGTGCCGTGTGTAGAGAAAATGTTCAATAAATATTAACTATTGCAATTCAATGGAAGTTACTATTACAAAGAGAAAGACCAAAGAAAGCAGTCTATTTCCAAATATAATTTAAAGTGATTTTTTTCTATAGTTCCTTTAGCAAGATAGTGAAATAGTTTCTTTACAATTCCTCTCATCATATATTTAAAAAAGAGTGAACATATATATTTGTATATATTTACATATTTATATTATTGGTTTTAGAATATTCTGTTAATAAATGTGGAATAATAAAAAAATTTAAAGGAAATATATATGTAATAAATATCATTTTAAATACCTTTTATTATTGTAAGGTTTGTTTTCACAAATTTCAGGTGACAAGTAGTATGGGGTCCCTATGCAAGTTCGAGCCAGTTCTACAGTACTAAAACAAAAAGAGAATTATTGGAGAAGCTTAAGACACTTACAGGAATAAATGATCATATATACATCATCATGAATTAAAATTTCACCAAAGACATATCAAAACAAAGTTTAAAACTGATACGTTACCTATTAAGAACTCTAGCAATTCCAAAATCTCCAAGTTGTACTGTCCCATCTTTGGTTAAAAATATATTCTGTAAAAGAGAGAGGAAAAAAAAATTAATATTAAAGTTCAGTTCTGAGTCAACAACTTTTTTCATAAAAATAAATCCAGTTGTAAAAAATGCTGGGATAACTGGATATCCACATGCAAAAGAATGAATGTAAACCCCTATCTCACACAAAAATTAACTCAAAATGGATTCTAGACCTAAATGTAAGAACTATAAAACTCCTAGAGGAAAAAAATAAATCTTCATGCTATTAGTTAGGTATCAATTTCTTAGATATGATACTAAAAGCATAAGCAAAACAGAAAAAACAGATAAATTAGATTTCATCAAAATTAGAAACTAGCACCAAGAAAGTGAACAGATAACACACAGAGCTGGAAGGAATATGTGCAAATCATATATCTGACAAAGAATCTGAATCCAGAATAAAGAACTCTTTCACCTCAACAACAACAAATACAGATAACTCAATTTTAAAACCGGCAAAGACATATATAGAGGGTGCCAAAAAAATGTATATACATTTTAAGAAAGGAAAAACTATTAAAATTGTAATACTCAATATTATAGACCGATAACAAAAGATGAATACAAGTCACGTTTGATTTCTGCAATTGTAAGAGGGGCTCAAAGTGGTTACCATCAAAGTCCAGACACTTCTGATTACGGTGAACTACTGCTTGAGCAACACTGACCAAAGTGTCCACTTGTATACATTTTTTGGCACCCCTGGTATTATATGATTCCATTTATATAACATGTTCAAAATAGGCAAATCCATAGAGATAGAAAGTAGATTAGTGGTTTCCAAGGTCTAGGTGAAGGAGAAATGTGGAGCGACTGCTAATAGTTACAGGGTTTGATTCTGGAGTGATAAAAATGTTCTGGAATTAGAGAGCAGTGAAGGTTTCACAACTCTGTGGATATAATAAAAATGACTGAAGTGCATATTTCAAAAAGATGGACTTTATGGTATGTAAAATATATCTCAATAGGCTTTCAAAAAATGAATCCAGACCTCCCCATCCAACAAAAAAAAACAAACAAAAAGCAAAACTTTCTAAAAATTCTGAATAGCCTAAAATGCATAACACTGAAATTTCAGAACAATGGGGACAGAGAAAATATCCTAACATCTTCCAGAGAGAAGAAACAAAGATAAGAAATCATAATGGTTTAAATTCCTAAACAGCAACACTAGAAGCCAAGAAGAGACAAATGAGCAATATCTTCAAAATTCTGTAGGGAAACTATTTCTAGCCTAGAAATTTATATCCAAATCTTCATAAAGTAAGAGAATGGAATAAAGTCATCTTCGAACAGGCAAAATCTCAAAAAATACACCTTCCACACTTCCAGTTTTTGGATATTTTCTGTTATAATGAGAAAGTAAACCAAGAAAGAAAAAAGCATAAGACTTAGGCAGGAGATCGAATGCAAGATGTTGATGAAGACTTCTGGGATTAGAGTGAAGGGGGAGCAATGGAGGGAGAAAACAGACAATCTGATGCAGATTGGACCGTGTTCAGAAATTTTGGCCCAAGACAATGCTGATTCCACGCCCATATCCATTTAAAAGGTGTCAATAACAGAACAAACCTACCTGTGATTTTATGTCTCGATGAAGAATTTTTCTATCATGTACATGTTTCAGGGCCAAACATATCTGTACAAACCAGTCCAAAATCTAGGGAGGGAAAAATCAGATCTGTCATTTCTTTTAAAATTTACATTTCACAGTTCTCTTTCTTTGACCACTTACAGGAGGATTCAGAAGTATTTGGGGTTGAGGGAAATTAAATCCTTTAAAAAAATTTAGACTGTATTTTTAATTTGCAGTCACTAACATCACAAAGATATTCAAGCCAAGTGACACACTACGTGCAGGGCACATACTAACTTTAAAATGTTAAGAGGCTACTGAAGCATCTCTTATAAATCAGAATAAAAATAAAAAAAATTTCGAGCAGAGTGAAAAATGGGTATAATTTATATTTCATGATAGCATTATGGGGGGTGACTTTTCTTTGTTTATAAACATATCTTTTTCTATGATCCTTTTTTTTTAACATAAATAAAAATCATGAGAGGAAAAGAAAATTAGGCAGGAAGGGTGAATAACATCTGAGTTTTTCTCTCTCCCCACATTTACAATATAAACACACTCTGGAGTTGGCCACCTGAAAGTAAAGTCTTAATTTCCTCATCAGACTTAATACCAAAAGCATTCCATGTAGATGGTATTTTGAAACATAAAAATTAAACTATACAATGATAAAAGAAAACATAGGTTCATTTTCTATAACCTTTGATTAACGCAGGACTTTCAAAACATGAAACAAAATCCACACGTCACAAGAAACAACACTGACAAAGCTGAGTCTATAAAATTAAAGCATCTGCATGGCAAAATATATATAATCAAGTTTAATAATAATTTGAGAAAATATCTGCAATGTAATTGATAGATTACTAATTCTCTAATATGCAAAAGTTCTTCCAAATCACTGAGAAAAATACTGGCAGCCAAAATAACAAGTGGACAAAAGAAAGACTGGAAAGGCAAATGACAATGGGGAAAAAAAAGCCAATAAACACACATACAAAATACTAACCTTCCTCCAAATTAAAAAAATAATAATTAAAACAAGATACTATTTTAACTTGACAAAAATGAAACAATACATAATGTTGGTCAGAATGTGGGGAAATAAGTCTTTGCATACCCTATTAATTATAGTCATTTTGCAAAACATGTAAAAATTTTATATTAACATACCATTTGAAAGAGCAAACTGCAATTTCAAATTTATCCTACAGATATAGTATCACAAAAACAAAAAGATGTGTACAAGCGTGCTTTTCTCAGCACTATTAAAGCAAAAAATTATAAACAACCTAAATGTTTATCAAGGGGCTTAGTTAAATATATTGTGATATTAATGTACTAGAAATATTCAGTGTGTTACTAAAAACAATGAAGTACTGTACTTCTATGTACATTAAGTGCAAAAAAGAAAGTTGCAAAATAGTATGCACAGCATACTCCTAATTTTTTTTAAATATATGATTGTGTATATTACACACCCAAACTCCATATAATTGTATATGAGTGTGTGATTTAAGAAGGAAAGAAGGAATAAAGGAAGGAAGCATAGAAGGATAGCTATCAATCAGCTAAGTGTTTACCTCAGGGAAAAAATTTTTCAGAAAACAGAATGAAACGTAAGTAACAAGCTTTACTTTTTATTCTTAGATCTTCAGTAATTTTATTTTATTTTTTTTTAAGAATTTATTGGGGAATTGGGGGATGGGAATAGCATTGGGGAAGGGAAAGGGGAACAGACAAGTTGCTGTCCTTTTATTCTTCAGTCTAGTTGTGGAGGATGTCCCTTCACTGGCCCATGTTGGTATTATCATTGCACTCTTCCCGGGTGAGGCAGTCGCTCGCCGGCCATTGGACGGCCACTCACGGCAGCTCACGCAGCTCATGAAAGTTCATGCCGTATGCTGGCCAGCCCCACTGCAGCCTACACGGTTGCCGGCGACTCATGGCAGCCCAGCTCCAGGTCAAGCTGTTGTTCACAATCTTAGCTGTGAAGGGCGCAGCATCACTGGCCCTCATGTGGGATCTGAACCAGGGCCCTGCTGCTCAGAGCTGGC